TATACATATACATATATATACATATATATATACATAAACAGCTTTAACAGTGACAGTTTAGTAAAAGATAGTAGTTTATATATAAACTTATAATTATAATCAGTTAAGATAATCAGTTTATAACTATTTATATATTGTTTAAATGGTTAACTATAGTAGTCTAATTTATTTTAGAATGACATATTATTGTTTGCTTTTTATATTTTACAACAAAGGGATTTTAACCAAGTATAATAATATTAAGAGCTTGAATTAGTTTATTACACTTAATCCAACAATTAGACGGTCTATTATGTTTTCTTTGTGTATATGGACACATGAATAAAGTCATAAGTGTCCAATCATTTTTATTTACATAATTTAAGTTTAGAAACTGCAGAGATGTTAAAATGATTGTTACGATATAATAATAATAACGACTGAAATGGGAAACCATATTTGTGAAATTCAATAGGTGGCGATAATGCTAAAGAGTTAGTTACCATATATGGTTTGCCTAGATTGTGTTATGGTTTGCCTAGAACCCTACCATTCTGGCAAGCCTAGTAGAAGCCATCGAGCTGGCAGATGCTTCACTTGCACGGGTACGCGGGAGAGCAAGCGGCTGCAAACTCCCGAAGGGTACCCTGGGATCGATGCTTGGCACCTCACGTACAATGAGCAGGCCGATGGCCCCCTTCCACATCGATAAGCCCATGTCAACTGAATTACAGTCTCCAGGGGCCCGCACATAGATGGCTGGCTGCATCGTGCACCACACAGTGCCAACTGGAGCTCCACAGCGCATGGTGAAGGTGGGAGGGAAAAAGCTTATGGCGATGTTGGACTCGGGATCATCCATCACACTGGTCCAACCACACATTGTCCCTCCCCGAACTGACTTTAAGGCAACAATGCCAATCACGTGTACATGGACCCACACGCTGAGTAACAGTGGTAGCTGGTCCAAGCGCCTGGCCGACTATGGAGGTGAGAATTGTGTGAGACTTACCAGTTCCAATCCTGTTGGGAAGGGACTGTCCCGGATTCCAGCAGCTATTATCTGCCACGATGCAGCCAGCAAGACCACGACAGAGGGGATGGGCTCGTCCACGGAGAAAAGGGGGCCGTTCAATTATCATGCTGCCCACAGACAGTAAGCGTGAGGCTGAGTATGCACTTTAAGACCCTAATCCTTTCTTTGATTTGTTTCAGAGGATAATCACAGGGGGAGAGTTCGAAAAAGAGCAACAGGAAGATGATCGACTGAAACATTGCTGGACGCAAGTCCGAGAAATAGATGGAGAAGTGCGTCTTCCAGGGCCTCAGACTCTCCCATACTTTGTGGTCAGAAAGGGCCAGCTCTATTGTATAGCACAGCAATGGGGGAGGAAAAAAGCATACTGGTTGTCAAGAAAAGCCAAAACAGAGACTATAATGATGCTGGCTCACTCCCATCCGATGGCTGGAGACCTGGGAGCTAAAAATACCACCCAACGCATCCGCTTTCACTGGCCTGGAAGTTTAAAGGTCACGAATGTAACTGTCACGAGTGCACTACCTGTCAGAGAACATCACCGGCTGGTGACTGACCTCTGCCAGCTACTCAGGGTAAAACGGCTTCGCATATGTTTAGCATCCCCAGACAGACAATCTGGTGAAGCTGTTTAACTTTTAACCTGAACCTTAAACAGATGTTGCACCGAGTAGTCGCAGAGGATGGACGTGACTGGGACCTCATGCATCTGTATGTGCTCTTCGAAAAAAGAGAGGTACCTTAAGCATCTACTGTCTTTGTTCCAGTTGAATTATTGTTTGGGCATTAGCCCCACGGACTGCTAAATGTGGCCAGAGAGACATGGGAGCAGGAACCAGCTCTGCATCGCAGCATCATAGAGCACGTGCGGGACATGAGAGAGCGCATAGACCATGTAATGCTCTAGTCCGAGAAAATCTAGCAACTGGTCCTGTCACGTCCAGAATGGAGAAGAGCACCCAGTAACATTTTTTTTTTCTTATTTACATATTTCTCTTTAGTTATTTAGAGGTAAGAGAGGGATTAGTTAGCAGGTTTTTAATTTGTTATTTTCTTTGATTTGGCAGTGCTTATTCTCCTTCCCTCCATCAGGTATGTTTGTTTACTTTTTGCATTTATTGTACATATTTGTAAATATATTTTGATTGATTTAATAAATTTATTTCTTTATCTTTATTGTAATAAAGCAAACCACTTTTTTGCCATATCGTTGTCTGTGTTGATACATAGCAGCTAACATCTCAGGGGAATTCTTAAAATATTGGGTCGTCATTATTGTTAAGTCCTTTTTCATCCTATGAGCCACACGGGGTGTAACACCATGTGCAAAGCGATATCTGTGCAGTAAACCAGAAATGAGCCATGTGAGTGAGCAGAGTTGCAAGGTCCAGTTGTTCCAAATGATTGAGTGCATCTGAGGATGCTCTCGAGAAAGCGGAGTAAGCTCAGGAGGAAAGAACCATATCTGGATGTGATGACAAAATCCAACAGCTGCCAAAGTGGATGCCATTGACAGGGTATCCTCCAAACTAATGCACAAGGAAGCCGGAGGAAACAACTCCAGCAAGAGAAAGCTAACCGGAAACAGAGGAGAAATCCCAAAGCTCTAAACAACAAAGTACAAGTGTGGCAGGAGGAGTTTATCAAAACATAGAGAAGAGTGATTCTGATAATATGCCTGAGTACCATTTACAGAAAGTGCCACAAGTCAAGGGATGATGAATGCCTTTCAACTGCAGAATTTCAACCACACATCTCCATCAACATATTTTCAAGTATAATGAAGAGGCTGATAGCTCAGAAGAAGAGAAACAAGGATGAGCAAAGACCAGGATCAACATTTCATGCTTATTTCTTTTGCATTCTGATTTCATTTGCATATAGCTATTTATAATATCACTTCAGTATGAGTGAGAAAACCAGCAGTTAGCACAGAACCAACTGAATACTTGTGCTTAAAACATTATTGTCTTTGATGCGTAAAAAGAAAAAGAGAGTACAGTTGTTTACAACTTTCTAATCAAAAGTAGAAAGTAGATGTTTGGTTTGGATTTCTGCCAAAGTACGGTGGCATAATATAGTCAATTGATAACTACAATGTGGCTCTTATCAGTCACTAGATAGAGGTAATTAAGAGAAGTGGATTATGAAACTGCACTGTGGGTTAAAAGACAATAAGATTAAGACTTAAAGTCTTAAGAGGAGGGAATATGAAGAAGATGCGTAAGCCTATGAGAAGGCTATACTAAAGAATGACCGATTGTGTAGAGTAACTGAATATGTAAAGCACTGATTATACATGTTAAATACTCATATGACTCTATATCTGTGAAAGGCATACAGGAGAGTGAGTAACATATCATCAAGTTAATGTAACATCATGACAATGTATGTAAACACTTAGGAGAAGTTGCATCTCACACGCGACCACACGTAGAGCATACGTCTTGTAGCAGCTTTTTTCTGTTATGATTGGCATAAGGAAAGTGTCATATCATAGAAGTGGTTGGTCCACTTGATAGTTCATGCCTTCGCCCCTGCTTTGCTTTGCCAGGGCAAACCGTGTTCCCTGGGAGTGAGAACACACTTAAAAGAGCAGTGCCTTCTTTTGGGAGCAAGTACATGGCGCCTCTTTAACAAATTTTGTAGACCTGCAGGCTAAGCAACTCCTAACACATTTGCAAGATTTTATAATCTTTGAGAGAAGCCTAGCTAGGTTACCCTGGTCAATCAGGAAGAAACTAGGCTCAGTGTCAAAAATGCTTGCTGCGCCATGCTCCATAATTCAAAGACATGTGCACTTATTTTGATCTGCTAAGTAAGTTACCCATTTGGTAAACCCTAAAAAGTTCCTCTGAAGCCTCCAGCACCCAAAGCTGGGTGCCTGGCCCAGTATGATGTCTGGTATACCTCCTTGTGCACTCAAGATATGCTTGGAAAACTTTACATCAGGGGAGTGACAGGCTTATCTGCTGTAGCCTTTTCCATACACTCTCACAAATGGATCTTCCAGACACAGGTTGGAGTTCCCATGAAGGGGAATGTCTCGGTTACTTACAAATAGGGAACAGAAATGTGTGTCTCCAATGCCACAGCAGCTGGGTCTCCAGTTGATGAGTGAGTGTTTGGCTCTTCAGCAGGCTAAAAATGTAACTGCTCGCTCTGCACAAGCCAGCTATATACTCTGTTAATGGTTAATCTCTGGCACCTGCAGAGCCAAGCTCTGCAAACTCATTGGCATTCATTAGCCCATTTTCATACTCTTCAGAATGGTTGGTGAGCAATCTCCCAAAAGTATCTTTTGACACACGTTTCCATTCTCTATCCGAGAGAAACAACAGACTAATTACAAAGCTAATAGTGCAAACTAAAATTTTTGTTAAATATGCAGAAAATTGTGGCCAGAGAACTGTAAAAGTGTATACAAGAGATTAGTGCCAGTCATACTGTATAGATGGGTCTACACAGTTATGCCAAATTGTTCAGAAAATGCTCTGCACAAAAACAAAGAGCTATGCACTGAATGTTTTCTGTGGTGAGATCCATGGTTTGTCATGTTTGATGAGGTTGCAAAAGGTTTATTAAATAAATTATTGATTCTTTTTTAAAAGATAGCGCTTATTCAAACCATTCATTTGGATATGAAAACAACCATATGTACACTCATAACCCTCTCACACTAAAAAACATATAAGCTGTGCTTCACATGCTTATATATAAGTAATTAATTAATTAATTAAACAAACAAATAAATACACCACACAGTTAATATCTTGGGTGTTTTACTGACATTTGTTCTAAATACCAAATTTGTGTAACTTCATAAGTAACTACTATACATTTCTGTGAATTAATTATCAGTAGTTTTTAAATTAATTTACATTCTTAATTGTCAAAAACTGGGGATGCTTTTGCATATGCAGTAGTGCTGGTACTCAGTGTAGTCAAACTAATATTCTGGCTGACAACCATAAATGGACCAGACCTTTCTCATGCTGTAGGTGAAGAAAAAGCCAATATTGTAGCCCACTTCCTTGAGGAGGGAGATGGTCTGCTGATGGTCTTCTTCAGTCTCACTACAGAATCCTGCTATGAAATCACTGCTCAAACTGACTCCTAAAACAAGATTAAACACAAGGAACATCATAAACCACTGAGCTTTATTTACATCTCCTTTAACTTTAATTAGCAACATAGAGTTGATTTTTGAGACATGGGACAAAACATTTTTTTCTGTAAAATTAATACCAGAAATTATTTTTATATATTCCAAGTACATATTATTGGGAGGGTTTGACATATTTTCCATATACTGAGTTACTGTGAAATTGCTTTTTTTTGCCTCACAGAAGTGGTCTCTTATCAATTAAAGAACCTTTTACTACGCACATTATGTTAAATTTTTATTTACTTCCCAAATAAGTATCATACTCCTTTGATTTAATAGATGATTAAAGAGTCAGCTCAAAAGATGAGCATATCAGCTTATTGTAATATTCTTATCTCTAAATATTCATATTAAATAATAACTTGTTATTGTTAATTATTAATAATACTTTCTTGAGCCAGTGTGCTGCATGAGAATCATTAATCTAGTCTTTTGTTGGGACAGGATTTCCCAACTTTTTTCATGGTATTGGGATGGAATTTTTATTTTTGAAAGGGAGACAAGAGGTTTTAAAATCCGCTTTCATGTCACCTTTTACCATGGAACCCCATAGAGATCTGCGCGAGACTAAATTTTGAATCCCGCCCGCACCCGCCAGGTTTTAGCCCGAACCCGACCGCTCCCGCTTATATTAAGAATTTGTAGTCCCGCTGCCCGACCCGCCCAGTTTTCTGGCCGCCGCGCCCGATCCCGCTAAAGAGCGGGGGAGAACAAAACCAAAAATCACCTAGCTATACAGTCCAGACAGCCAAGCTGTCTGTATAAACACACACACAAGCACCAAGCAGACACACATGCGTTTGCTGTTATATCAACTCGAAGGGTTGTAATACCATGTATCAAGTACCAATGTAATACCAAAAGGTTTTATATAAAGGTATATAAATACTGAGTCGCGCCAGCTCCGGGCCGCAGCGCACATTACTCTCGGGCCGATTCCGGCGCGGATGCGGCAGCGTCGGCTCGCTTACGGCCGCCGCATCTGGCTCGATTGATTCGGGTCGGGCAGCCGGAGCCGGGCCGAGTGGTAAGTCTCTGGCAGACAAGAATCTAGCCGGAACTGGTGTATTTTGCTATCTGGGAAAGCTCTCTCTCTCTCTTTCGCGCGCGCACTAACATACACACCCACAAGCACCAAGCACACAGACAAAGCTCTCAAGCTCTCTCTCTCTCATTCGCATAGCAATATCCGCGATATTGCTAGACAGCCCGCTCCCATCCCAAATTAAACCCATTACCGACCGCTCCCGCGATTTATTCGAAAATTTATTCCCGCGTCGCAGAAATCTGGTCGGGTCCCGCGGCGCCCACGGGACAGCCGCGGAAATGCAGACCTCTAGAACCCCACTCCTTATTGTTTTGGTAAGACATCAGAGGTGCTTTTATGATGGTGCTTGGACTGGAGCTCTCCATATCTCCCCACCCGTGAGACAGATTGGGGATTGTGCTATTTAGGTCAAAAAAGGGAGATTAAACCCACCCTTGCCCTGTCCCTTTCTCCTAGACGTGCATTAGGAGACTTTGCAGTGCTGCAGGATTCCGAAGACACAAGACACTATGTAGTCTCTTTTCTTGGACTCAGCAATCCTATGGTTTGGCTCTCTAGAATATGAGATTAATTATATCAAATAAATAAAAAGGTTATACTGGACCACAAAGCCAAATTAGTGTACACTACTATTGCATGCTCTATTGCATTCATTACTATTGATACTATTGCATCACAGCTCGCTCACCATCTGCTCCAATGGAGTCAATTGCGGCTGAAATTGCTGTCTGCCATTTACATATTGGACAAGCTTAACCGTGCAGTCAATTAGCACACACACATCATGGCAGTTCACACTGCAAGGTGAATAGAAACACAACCTAACTGTGGTCCAGCTGACTTGGGAACATTTCAGAGAGGCCTAGGTTGACCTCCTTGCTTTGCTTGAATCCACTCCTTGACGGTTATTTTATTCTGGCTGCAGCCCTGGCTCACAACTGGTCCTTAGGGTAAACATGCATTTTCCTCAGTGAGCCTTTTTACATAGACCATGTGTAAGGACAGTGAGACATGGAGCAGGTCTTGTTGGTTGCACCACTGGTTCACCAGCAACTGGGTTCCAAACGCACACACCTTGTTACTGCTACTACCTAATAAATTCCCCTGAGACCTTCCTCAGTGACAGTTCACTAACTAGCATCCATGTCCAAGCTCTTTGTGTGGTTCATTGACGCAATGTGGAAGATTTATGTGATCTGCTGCAAAGTGGCAGTTAAAACATTCACTCAGTATATGGCTCCTTCTATGAGGCAAGCATATGCCCTTAAGTTGGTACTATCTCATGATTTGGTGGATGACAGGATGCCCGGGAGGAATGACCTAGTCATCTGGTTCCTGGGGGTGCCTATTATGCAACTTCAGATCTTTCTGTGGTCCTATAGTTTGACAGAGACATCAGCTTGATTAAGTACAGTTAAACAGTCATTAGAGGCAACTTTATTGGTCATGGTGGCTTGTATAAAAATGGTTGGAGACTTGAATTTGCCTTGGATGACATGGATTTTTGGTTAACGAAATGTGCTTGTGTTGTCCTGTGTCTGTTCAAGGTTCTTACCACTGTATATAAACCAAGTAGCATGCCTGCAAGCACTATCTTTAAAGGATGCAGAATTAGCCCTTTCACTACTTTTCCTGTCCATTAACTACAATTTCAGGAAAACTCAACCAGAAAAATATTAGCTTTGTATCAAAATGCTTGGCACCATTCTACCTAACCCAGAGGTCTGGGCACTTATATTGCTCTTCTAACAAGTTCCTATCTGGTGACCCCAAGAGAGTTCCTTGAAGGACCCCAACACTTGACTCTGCTGAGGAGCTGAGTATTTGGCCCATTATGTTGTTGTTGTTTGCCTGCTTGGTCAACCTGGCTTCTGGGAATATATGTTTCCTATGTGTGACTTCCTTTCAGTAAACCCATATGTGTTTAGTCAGCCACAAAGATTTTCCCTCCAATGGTCCAAACCAATGTCTCTCCTATCAGCTAAGTGTCCTACTCATATATAGTGCTCTTCATCTAATAGTGCTAGCCCACATAACATTTCTCTACTTTAGGGACTGAGGGTTACATCCATAACCAAGACATTTACTTAATAAACCAAACAAATCTAGTTCTTTGTTTCTTATCAAATATCCAATAATCGTAAGACTTATTGTTATTGGCTCCTGCTATATGTGGTGTGAAGAAACCTAGAGAACAAATTAGTAAGGTCCCCCAGAAAACCTAGTGGTACCCCTGACTGTGATATGAATTACTGAATACTTATATATAGTAGGGTGAGGCGGTGGCACAGTAGGTACTGCTGTCGCCTCACACCAAGAACATCGCTGGTTCGAGCCTCGACTGGATCAGTTGGCGTTTCTGTGAGTTTGCATGTTCTCCCCGCAGGTTTCAATACGGGTGCTCCGTTTTCCCCCGCAAGTCCAAAGACATGTGGTATAGGTGAAATGAGTAAGCTGAAATTGTCCATAGTGTATTTGTGTGAATGAGAGTGTATGGGTGTTTCCCAGTGATGGTTGCAGCTGGAAGGGCATTAATTGCATAAAATATGCTGGATAAGTTGGCGGTTCATTCGGCTATGGCGACCCCAGATTAATAAAGGGGACTAAGCCGAAAACAAAATGAATAATATATAGTAATATATAGTAATATAAAGTTATTCTTCATTACAATAAACTTTTTTCATAGCTTATGTAACTTTGTCCCAATACTCAAGAATTATTGATTAAATTACCTGGTATTATTTTCCGAATATTTTCCACAAGCTCAAGATATGCCTCTCGAGTGTAACTGAAAGGGAACAGACATGTAAAGGAAATTAAATTATACATAGCATGCACAAAGTCTTTCTTATTTATATTTCAATAACAATTGACCAAAGACAAATTAATACAATTTCACTAATTCACAAGAACAATCATTGCTTATATTCATATTGCTGTATCAATATTAAAAATTGCAACTATATCCTGTCGTATAGTTCAGTAATAATAAATAATGTTCAAATAATTAGCAACTAATAGATCAGTGGTTCTCAAACTGTAGTACCGAGCTTTATTCTAGGGGCACACAGAGAAATCAATGAATAATAAAAGAAAATGAACACACTTTTAATCCTTTCACACATATGACAACACCAATGTGATCCGCATTGGCTGTTCCCTGGAGCCTGCAATCACACGAGTTACTAGAATGTTTAGAGCATTACATCATCAGCTCCTAAAAGTCAATCCGCTTGGCCCAGAACCTGAAGAGGCACGCGTCACTTGTAGAAAAAAGGCACAAAAAATTATGCAACCAGGGGTGCACATAACTGGTCCACGCCAGGACCGTATGCATGCTAAAAAATTGCAGATATGCACTAGTGAGTCCACTTTTGCAGACAATTTCTGATGTGTTGGCATTTACTGCAAACTCAGGCATCACTGATAAAATAATTATTACAAATATGTTGTGTAAAGTAATGTGTGTTTTCAGCATGAAAAGTTAATTATTTTATTTTATTTGTAAATAGCAGCGTGGCTTTCAATTAAGTTTGTTACCTTAGATTTAGACAACTTAGTTTGGATAGGATTTAAATGACATGGGACACAGAACATACACAAGCAACTTTTCCATGCTTGAACCTCAAAGGTAAAATATAATTAGATAGTCTCTATAGATTAAATCCTATATGAATCGGTCAAGCAGTCTATTTAAGGTAAATCTACTTTACATCTCTCCAGATGCACTGAGAAAATATTTACAGAGGTCTCTGGAAGCTTCAAAGTTCATTTTAATTTATACCAGTGTTGCCCAAAGCTATGTACAACCAAATAGATAGAAGGTTTAAAATACTTAGTCTGTACAATTACAAATTAGACCACAAAAAATACAGAATTCAAACAACACAGGCCAGAACCCTTCCTACTGCCAAAGCTGCCACCAAACCTCAATGAATGGCTGCCACTGCCACCAGAGCTCCATGAATGCCTGCCACCTGAGTCAGACTCAAGACAGAATCAGATTCAAGATAAGATCCATATTTATGCAACAGAGTACTTGCATGCAGAGCCAAGCTAAAAGATTTAAAAATGTTTTATAAATCTCACCAATATATTGGCTGGTCAGTATAAATGAATTTTAAAATTACTTATTATACTCTGTTGTGACGACTCCTAAAACTTTTAAGAAATCTCAAAACTCTCATTTTCTTTTACACAGATAGGTGGCAACACAGTCAGAATCTAACAATCCCTTAACTGATTGCAACTCTGAGACTGGTTATAATCCAAGATCATGTCAGCATGATTTGCAAATGAACCCAAACATGATCCCACCAGACACATAGAGCTTCCATGTGATGAAACTGTGAAAATGTTTATTTTCTTAAACTATGTAAAGACACATTTATTTGGGTGACTGGATGGTCATGCAAATTTGCCATTATATGTCATTAAAACAGGTGGTATGTTAAGGCAAAAGCGCATAAAAGATCATGAGAGAGGACTTGGAGATACAGTGAAGAGTAATGAGAACTATCTGTGTAAATACAGCCAGGAAAGCATGAAATATATAAAAAATGTTGAAACTGATGTATGTAAAAAAAGACGTACTGTATGGGTGAGAAAAGTCGCTTTTAGATGCACGCGCACACTCACGCACACAGACACGCACACACACAGTATGACAAACAGCTGAAAGACAGCATCAGCATGACCTATTTTGTGAAAGACCAACGTGGCCTAGTCAGCTTGAAAAGAAAGATTGTTTTTGAAAGGGCTTCTGTCAAAAATGCTAAATTATTTTAAGATTATTTATTTTCAAGTTCATGAAGTACCTTTTACATCCTTGATAATATAGTTGCTTAAATAGACCTAAGCATTCATTAGTTGTTCAAGTGTAAAAGGAGATGAAAACAAGTGATGTACGAGGATCAGCAAGTCACTACCATTACCAAGTCACTTGTTGTCTTGGTAATGTAAGTGCAATGTAAAAAGATATATTTTTGGCTTTAGCACTCCCTTTGTTCTGATCTGATTTAATTAAGTTGAATAAAAAAACATAAGTAAATAGTGCTCTTCTGCCCAACCAGGGGGCTGTTCCATAAACCAAGCTTACAAAAAAAGCCAGGCTTATTTTGGTAAGCCAAGTTTAGTAATGGCGGATTAGGTTTCATAAATCAAATTTACGATAGTTCAAACTCAGTTACTCTGGCAATTTATCCTGGGAAACTAGCCTGGTCCAGAGTAGGTTAACTCTTAGGCTAAGTCTTAAGTTCAAGCTTAATCATATTAACATTAACCTGATATAATTTGATGCTATTTTTAATTCACTTAACCTCGTAATAATGATTAAAATTTATAGTCACATAATAGTAAATACATATACCAAACATCTTTAAGAATATAAGTTATAAACAAAATAAATACAAACTACAACATTTTAACTAAATTTGTATATTTTTATGTTTATGTTGATTTTTTCCTGTTTATTAAAATTGTATTTAATATTTCCCCCAAACATTTTGATTTGGGTGCACTAATTTTTGGACTGATCTTTTATTTTTTGTTAGATTACTTACAAATTTTGCTTTGTTACTGAATAATCTAATGTATATGCACAAAGATATTATTGTAAAGGAATTAAAAAAAAAATTTATTTAAAAGAAAAATCTGTGAGGGGTGTACTTAGCTATTTACATATGAATGACAAAAATTTAATAAAGAAAATGATATTTAAAAAGCACTGACTGAAATAAAGAAGTAGGCTACATTTCTTTAAGAATAATTTTAAAGCTGTAAACCCTGTGTGGAATAATAGGGAGATGATCCGGGCCGAGCAGTAGCCACACATTAATAGAGATATTTTTCCACGAACTGCAGAAAACACAAGTGTCAAAGGAAAAGCAGCAATTTGCATCGTTTTCGGGAGCAAATTAAAAATCCTGTCGCTTGTGCGTGCACAGCTATTTGTAGCCATTATTTTAAACTTTTGAATGTTACCAGGAGCCTGCAATGCATTTCTTGCAAGAAACAATTGGCAGTAAGCACACATTCTCTCTTTTTCTCTCGTGCCCGTACACAAGAACAATTTTAGAGTATTTTGTTTTTACAAACATTAATTTAATGTTAACAGGCCTAAATCATGGCCTATATTTTAAAATCTTCAATTTCCTGTCAGCCCTCTCTCTTGCTTTGTTGCAAGCCGTACTGTAGTTTTTGATTATTGTGTTTAAATTATTATTCGTTTGAAATCAAAAACCAACACGACTCACTCGCTGTGAACAGCTGTGTCTCATTTCAGAGCTCTTTCAGTTCAGGTAGCACACAACATAATCTATGCATCTATGCTTGACCTTCAGGGTTTCGTGACAGTAATGTGCACAAGCAGTTGTCTAGATTATTTAAACTGAACTCAGATTAGTTAGATCAAATGATCTTCAACTTGCTGTTATGGAACAATTTAAGCGTGGACGTTTAGTTTGGCTCACTGAAGTCAGGAATTTGACTTCAATCCCCGCTTTTCTAAGCCACTTTTAGGAAACAGCCCCCAGCTTTACTGAGGTGAAGTTTGATTTATATCTGTACATTTGTTCATTTTTTAACAATGACAAATTGTGACAAGCTCCTACTCTAATGTTACTTTGAATATTTTGTGTGAAATAGCGTGTAGGTATGACTTCAAAACAACATTAGTACTGTTTAATTTACTGTGAACAATATATTTATATTCAATATTTTATATTCATTGGCTGATTATATGATTTTACTATTTGCAGTGCTTTTTTGAAATTATATTATTAAGGAGAAAGTCAGAATGTGCAAATATAAAACAAACTTTACCCCAATGCCAGTTTTGGGGAAAAATATTTTTTTGGGGCCAAAGTGCATGACTTCATATTTCTGCTAGGTGCTGGTGAATGACATGATCTATTGTTATATAAGGTTGTCTATGGTTATCTATTTGGTGCTTGTTCATGCCTTCAGGAGGTGTGGCTTTGAACGGCAGGAAAGGGATGTGCATTTTCAAAGATATTATGCTAACAGTAACATTTGCAATGTTAGTGAATGTGTTGTGTTTAATTATTAGGCGAATGTTGTTAAAAAATATCCTGATATGTGTCTAATATATCCTGCACACAGGCCCCTTGTTGTCATCCATGTGTTTTGAGTAAAAGTAAATGGTTAATTAACTGCTAGCTTGTAGACAGTAAACTCTATTTATAAGATTGAGTAAGGTAACATTTACAGGAAGATTGCATTAGTTAACGTTAGTTCATATATTAGTTAACATGAATTTACCATGAACAACACATATGTTCAGCATTAATTAAACTTTGTTAATGTTAATTAAACATATGATAATGCATTAGTTAAAAAGTGTTGGGTGAATAACTTTGTTTAGCATAATCTTTGTTTATGTTAACTTACTCTCTGTATTGAATCTCTCTAAATTAGTAGCTTAATGTAATTTGCTAATGTTTACTTACACATAGACTAATTTATTTGTTTATTGATTAGATAACATCACTAAACAACGAACAACACATTTATTCAGTAATAATAAATCTGTTAATTTGTACATGTGTTACCTAATGCAGTAACCACGAAACGACTCAGGTTCAGCATTTCACAGTCTTCAATTGGCATGGTATTCATGTTTGTAGATTCTTTACTAACATGATTTATCACTAGCAAAGCGTTAGTTAAAGAGCCTATATTATGGGTTTTTGAAAATGCCCTTCCATGTAGTGTGTAATGCTGTGTTCACACCAAACGTGGAACGTGCGGATAAATCGCGCTATTGGC